GGAGATTACACTGCAAATTCTGCCAAGGGAAGGGGAAGCATTAGCTGGAAAAATCCAGCCATGGACTCCAGAACTAGGAAACTTAAATTTTTGACAGCACAAGTAATTTTAGGTAGAGTTCAGCTGAATACAGTGCATATGTCTCCCAGTTTCAGGCTATGTGGAGTTTTAAGGATTGCAGTTTAACGCACTGACGACAAACAGAAATGACTCAAGTTTTGAGCACAAGTAGGGTGTACCACACTGTATTTCAGTTTCCTGAGAGTGACACCTTTTATGTCAGAAGTTAGCTGAAGTATTTCTTCTATATAGGCTAGGTTTATTGGTTTGCTTTTATGATGACATGGAACAGACGGATGCAGCTGTGGCCCGGGCTCTACTTCATCAAATGATTAAGTGTAATCAACTGAGAGGTTTTCAGGCCGAGGTTCAGAAGGTGTGTACTGTACTTCTTCTTGCCTAATCTAATCTTGAAAAGAGGGGAGAAGGGACTTTATTCTTGAATATAGAAGGAAAAGAGTGAAAAATTACTGGCATGTCAAAGATAAGTAGAAATAGTTCTTGAGCATATACTGCAAAGAATAAAAGTCCTTCCTTTTTTTAAACACTGCTCATTCTTTTTTTTCATTCTGTTTCCTCCTGTTCCATATTCCTTTCATAACTGTGGTTCTATTTTTAATTTTTATGAAGTGTGGTCACTAAATGGTTGCCAATGCCTATTCCAGAACCTCTGTTTAAATGTTTGGGTGATAACAGAAATTGGTTCTTGAAAATCTTTTATTCCCCATCTGCTTTTTTGTTTGTTTATTTGCTTGCTTTAGCTCAAATCTCAACTCCTGGACATTGCCATGCAAAACCAGACATTGAATGATATCCTTGGATCTCTGTCAGATGCTGTAGTTGGACTAACTTCAAGTCAGCTGGAATCTTTGTCACCTGAAGCGGTGCATAATGCTATTGCAACATTAAACCAAGTATCTGGGTGGACAAAAAGCCAAGTTATGATTTTATCCAGTAAATATCTCTCTTATGAAAAGGTACCTCTGATAACAGCTTTCCTACCTTTTATTTTTGAAAGTGAAATGGCTTTTTCTCAACAGTAACTGTAGATCTTGAAAAGTTTAGTACTGTTAGTGGTGTGAAAAATTTGTTTAAATCAAATTAAATTAAAACATCCAAGAGTGTACCTGCCAGAGTAATTCTCTAGTAACAGAGAGAATTACTATTTGTATTTGGCAGTTGTATATAGTGTTTTGTCTCCGTCACTACCCTAAGCAGAATTTGCATGAGCAGAGATCCCAAGCTATATATTCAAATATGCTGTGATGGAAGGAGTCAGGGTCCTCTCTGAAATGTCAAAAAAAGGACTGTCTGGGAAAATTGTTGTGTTTGTTCCCTGGACAGATTTGTCTGAATTGGAAGAAATATAAGAAAAGTGCATCCTCAGGCAAGAAATGTTTCAAGCATTCAACAATAATAGTTTTGATTTATTAACTTTTGCTTTAAAATATATCTATCTGCTGTTCACTAGCCAGAAAACTTTGTTTGTGTTCTTATCTCTGCAGGTTTTATCATTTTATAATGTTAGTCAAATGGGCGCATTGGTAACTGGTATCAGTACCCAGTCATTCTACAGCATGAACCCCAAAGAGCTTTCTCACATTATTCGAGGCACAACATCCCAATACTTACCTGACTTATCACCTGCACAGCAACAAGGGATCCTCAGGAAGGTGATTATAAACTTGACAGTGCAGCAGGTTCTCAGTGCACATGAGCACAATAATTAGAAACGCAGGGCATGATTTAAAATGTTGTCACCAAGATACGTGTTTTAGCTCAATGGTTAATATTTCTAATGTATTTTTCTGAACACCAAATATATTTTGAAGGCTCTCTCTTGCTTAGTTCCATGATGTTTTTAATTCTAGCATGTTTTACTTTTATCCTCTTAAGAGAAATATTACACAGAATAGAAAGGACAAATCCTGTAAGTCTAAGCATCCGTTCTGAAATGCCATGTATTATCTGTTATTCTTTTTAGATAGCTGCATCAGGAGATTTTTCTTCATCAGTCAAAGATATACCAGGAGCTTTCTTTAAAGAAATATCTCTTCCTGCTTTATGGAAGCAGACTGGGTATAATTCTTCAATGATGAAAGAAAAAGAACTAAGAAGAAGCCAGGTAAAAATGATTATGCAGTTCCCATTTCAATGCAGTTTAGTATGATAGAAGAATAGAAGTGTTGTAACACATATGTGTTCAAGGACATTGGGAAAAGGAAGGAACTGTCCTATATATATATCTATATATATATATATCTATCTATCTTGATGTAAACAACCAGAGGTCATTTAAAACCTAAGCAGCAATTATGAGACAATGCTATGGAAAGGAAAGGATTAATATGCTGAGTTTAAATGTCTTCAAGATTCTGCCACATGCATTTTCTCTTTCCAGTACTCTATACTAGACATTTGCGTGTACAGTCAGCCCTTTGACTGTCCAGAAAGATGAAAGGTTGAACCAAATGATCTCCAGAGGTCACTTCAAACCTAAATTATTCAGTGTTTGTGTGCCATGGACACCATCTTATAATGCCAGTCAGCAATGTCCTGTCTTGTGAAGAAGAAATTCAGCACTGGGTGACAAACATTTTGGTTGGCCAAGCTGGACCATAGAAATATCTTTAGACTATATAAGAGAGTTAAGCATGCAAAAACCTTGCATTAGTTATTGTATCTTACAACTGGAGTACCTAAGCTTAACTTTAAATATGGTGGGTTTTATTTCAGGCTTTATATCTGTATGAATTACTGTCTAAGAAAAACTACCCTGTTGATCTTCTAAGGTAAGGATGACAGTCTATCTTGAAATGGCGTTTTAAGTCTAGTTCTGCTATGGGAGCATTTTTGAGGTAAACAGTATGTGGTTATTTTGTACTATCTTATGTTTATTCATTCCTTGATGCGACAAGGTAATTCACCTTCCTCATTAAAAAGGGTCTCCAAATCCAAAATCAGGATTGCAGAGGTTTTGGTGTAAAGCTCAGTCAATATGTTTTCAATTTGATTATGGCTTTACTTTCAATAGCCTTTCAGTTACAAGAAACAGGAAAGAGAGGCAGTCAAGAAACTGTGTTTTAGGACATTGCTGTGGGAAGTAAGGACTAGATCCTGCTTAAACATTCAAAAGACTGAACTTTGCTTTTCCTATCAGCACAGGACAGCTTGTGAAAGGAGTAACTTGTCAACACATTGAAAGTATGGGCACAGACATTTTTTTAAACACTTTTAAATTCTTTGAAATGAATCTTCATCTACTTTCTCCATATCAGGTAAAACCAAAGGAAGACTTTGTGTACATAAGCATACTATCTAATAGCCAAGCTGTAGGTAAATTAGAATTCAGTTAATACTTTTTTTTTTTTAGTCTTGTATGTGTGAGCTTGTCTGTTAACATATTTCATTTAAATCTTTTATATGTGAATTTGTCTGTTCTTATACTTTGTTTCGATGACTTCACTTGTTACAAATTGTAAGAAATTCCTACAGTCATCATACTTGCCAATTCATGAGTAATCTGTTTGGAAATATATGTAGATTTTGAAAACATATAAATGCTCTCATGCACCCAAATACAGGATGTTTCATCTCTGATGTTTACAAAAAGAAAACTCTAGACTACTATAAAAAAGCCAAAGAAAAATGCTCTTTGAAGATAATATGCAGTTTTATATATGCTAAATTATAAACTGTAATAAACCATAATTTCCTTCTTTCTCCATATTTCCACATGTTCAAGATATTAATGTTTTGTTGCTCTTAGATTAATTGTTTGGCATGGAAGTTTTGGAAAGTCTCCAATATATCTACTCCTCCATTCCTCTTACTGGTGCTTCCGTGAGTTACATCTTACTACATCTTAAGTTACTTCATCTGTGGCACCACATTCAGACTAGTCCTTCTGAGCACTTTTAAAATAATCTCTTCAGCCCTAAGAAAACTGATGATTCAAATAAATGGTAGCTTATAAAAAGTGGTCACTGATTGTAGCTGAAATCTGTCTCAAATGCAAGTTGGTAATACTTGGTGTCTTTTACTATAGCCCATTTTTGTCACAGTTGTGGATTCCTTTGCATCCTTGAAATCAGACCCCCCTGAAGCTCTCTGTGCCCAGACTAAATCATGGTGCAGTGATGTGGCAGCAGTGAAGATTAAAAAGCTTGTAATGCTGCTGCTTATACTGTTGCTGATGTCCGCTAAAAGAAAGGGGCTCATTTGCTGGGCTTTTTTGAACATACTTGTTTAGAATTACAAAAGTAACATAAATACAGCTTATGCTGGCTTTTGTTTTCTTTGGATTTTGTGTTGGGGTTTTGGGTGGGGGTTTTTTATTTTTTTTTTCCCCTAGGTTGTGAGACTTGGTTTGCTTATTTGTTCAGGGATTTTTTTGAGAGTATCTTACAACAAAGACATTGGGCTCTGCCCAAGCATATTGCTTCATATGTTTAAAATCATTTCAGTGTGTTTAAAGGCATTTTTGTAAGTTAGCAAAACTTTGCTTTATGTAAATAGCCAAGTAATATTCAGTGACAGCTTTTTTCCTTAAGAAAAAAAATAATTGTACCTTGATACGAATTCCTGAATTGTACAACTTGTTAATTCCCCTTTTCTTTCTTTCTTTCTTTCTTTTTCTTTCTTTCTTTTCTTTCTTTCTTTCTTTCTTTCTTTTTCTTTCTTTTCTTTCTTTCTTTCTTTCTTTTCTTTCTTTCTTTCTTTCTTTCGTTCGTTCCTTCGTTCTCTCTTTCTCTCGTTCTCCCTTTCTCTCGTTCTCCCTTTCTCTCATTCTCCTTTTCTCCCTTTCTCCCTTTCTTTCTCCCTTCCTCCCTTCCTTCCTACCTACCTACCTACAAGCTTAAAGGGATAAAAGGGAATGAGAACTGTTCTTTTCCTGGAATAATTTTAACTAAAAAAAAGTGAGGAAAGAAAAGCATTCTGTTTGGAAAGGCATTATTCTTTTAAAAATAGTAAAATAATAATAGAAAGACTTTAATACAAGGCTTTCTATAAGCTGCAGCAGCAAGTTATTTGGCCAACAGTTGCATGTTGCTTGTTCAGGGCCATCAAAAGTCAACTGGTACTCTTGCCTACCAACCCTGGTAATGGTGGACTTGTGAAGCTCCACGATATAGCTTTATTTACAAAGGCTGCTGGCCACTCTAGATGGTAAAGAGCATCATTTTGTTAATTTGGCAGGCCTCTTGGACTTTGATAAAAAGGAAGCCTAGTCTAAAATGACTTGCTGTCCTTAGTCCACCCACCAGATCTTCATTCATCAGAGAATTATTCCTAATAAAAAGAGGAATGGAAAAAAGTTTAAGAATTGCAGACAGTCTCGTTTCACATGGTGTTAAAGCATCTCAGAGCACTTTCATCCACTTGCAGCTATTTACAACCCTCAGCATTTTTTTGAAGTGAGGCACATGTGCTCATGAGCTGGAAGAAGATGTAAGTTAAAGTAAGGTGTGGATTAATTTCAACTTTTTGGGTCTGGCCCATTTATAGTATTTCAAGTCCAGTTTTTCAAGTATGATTTCTCCATCATCGCAGATTTTATGGGTGTGGTTATGGGTGTATGAAGATCAGGTTTATATTATGAGATAATTTGAATTCTTTCTGCAGGATTGAGTACCTGGAGTATGTTTCAGGCCCCTTGTGTGTCCCTTTTGTTGCAAGTCTGGGGAAGACTGAGATGAGTCTTTTGAATCCAAGCCTTCACAAAAAGAATGCTGTCCTACAAAAAGTACAGGAGTGCTTGGTAGGTATGGCTAGGAGGGGTCATCAGTGGAGGGGAGTTGCAAAATAAGTAATCCGTACTGAGCCACTGACAGTTCCAAACTAAGTGAGAGCGATTGATTAGTTTTCTTTCTGTTTAGTGTTACGTGGTGCTTCACAGAGTTATTCTGCCTACTTCAACTCTCCAGCCTGCATGCACATGCTCATGATCTCCTGTATACAGAGAGCAACCTGAAACACAGGCTTTCCTGTTCTGTGTTTGTGCAGTGAAACCATAGCTGGTGGTATCTGAGAACCCACAAGGTAATAGCAAGGCATGCTAATTTCTTCATTGTCACAAGCAAGAGCATTTTAGACTGTTGCTGAGCTCAGAGGAACTCTTAGTGCCAAGGGCCCAAGCAACCTACTGTAGCTGACCTTTGAGCAGGAGGCGTGGACCTGGTGACCTCCAGAGGTCCAAACTCCCTTCTGCGGTTCTGTTTGCACACGTTATTGCACTGCATTTCATGCAGTAATGTCAGTCACCATTTACATAAATTCTTGACTTGCCCATCTGTAGTCTGTATTATGTTTTATTATATATGTGTATTATGTTTTTCTCATGTATAGTTTGTGTTGTTATTCCCTGCCTAAAGAAACCTTTTTGTAGCTTCCTTAACAATTTTCCTTGACTCAAAGGATCTTACAAAGTACTCTCATGAAATGTCATTGCTGACCACAGTGAAAAGGCTGGGACACCCTGGAGCTGACCCGTTTGCATCTGGAGCTGTTCCCTCTTGCTCCAAGCAGTGCTAGTCCTGTAGAGCTGTGCATGGGAAGCTCCATGGAAGAGAAGATGGTACAAGGGGATTCTGTGAATTCTGCTCTCTGGGAAGTTCAGCAGTCACTAGTTTTTAGGAGAAACTATTTTTTGATGTAGTTGTGAATATTTGCATCCTTATACATACTAACCAGCCATATAATCCCTAGAGCTTTCACAGCTGCTATAGAAACCCCTCAGAGTTAAGCCACCTGACAGCAAGAACTTCTCTTTCTTTTGTCATAAGGGGCCATGTGAGGGCTCTGCTGCCAGGCAGAACTGCACCATGTCTGCAGATAGTCACCTGGATAGACTGTGGCAGGAGATTTAGTTTCATTTTTTTTTTTATGTGTGCTTCAATATGGGATAAAGAATACACTGAAAGCTCTAAGTACTTATTAAGTATCACCAGTTGCATTGGTAAAAGCAAGAAGTATAAAGCAGTCTCGGCAGAAATTGTAATTAAGTTGCCAATGCAAACTGTTGTCTTTGTTCCTTAAAGGGTCATGGAGCTTAAATGTGTTGTGATGGAGTTGAGTGATACAGAGCTAAGATTAGCTCTACCAACAAGGTAAATGCTTCTTGTTTCAGAACGGCTCTATTGCTGATGAATATGATGTTGACCTACTTGGAAATTTAATCTGCCACTTACCTCCAGCCTTTCTACATGGCAGAATGTCCCTGAAGGCAATGGCAACAGCCCTTCATCCCTTCAAGCTCTGCCAACAGCTCAGCCACGAGCAGAAGACTGAAATTAAATACAAACTACTTGAGTTATATGGGTAAGGTATTAAATATACCACCTTGCTTATGCTGATGGCTAAGCCATGCAAATACCAACCATTTTCTTTGTCCAGATAGAACTGCAATGAAAACAACACAAAGAACTTCTGTCACTGACTGAGCTTGGGGTCTCTTTCCACTAGAAGGACATTTCTGTTCTTGTGTGTAACATAACTGTGGAACAAAATACACCCCAGGGACACCCTGCATGACTTAATTCCCAGAGGAAAAGGAGAGAAAGTGTAATGTTTGAGGAGGGTCAGGCAAAGAGAGTCTCTGATATGGCAAGAGAAAGGGTGTTACAGACAAAGAATGGTGCAGGAATGCAAAGAATGGAAAAACTGAGGTGAGATACTCAGTATGCTGGTGTGAGAAGAGAAATTAAGATGACTGCAAGCACCTGTGTCAGTGGGAAAGAGCTAAAGAAGCAGAAGGATATAAAGTTCAACCACCTGAAGCAACAAAGCAGACAGCATGTTAGGTATCATTAGTGAGTCAGATTTTGGAGGCTGATTGGAACACTGCTGTATCAGTCCTGCAAAAAACAAAGCCATCCCCTGTCTGGCAAGAATGTACTGTTTCTCTCTTGCATTGTCTTTTAGAAATATCTTGTATTTGAAAAGACTGAATGTATAGTTTCTAACCACCCATCAGCCTTAATGACTGTCACTTGATTCACCTAATTTTAGTTGCTCATTCAGCTTTCTTCTAGTCAGCATTTTTTCCAGTAATGGAATAGCTACATTTTCCACCAGATCCCACCCCTGCATTAATCTTGATACAGATCCATTTTATTGAATCATAATTTACTGTGCTAAATAGTTTAGTTTAGTTTATTACTTGTCTAGTCAAACATCCTCACAGTAGAGCAACAAACCAAAGAAAGTTTTCTGTGAGATCATGTACCACCAACAGATTTGTTACTACCACCTTCTTCAGGCTCTTTTAGGCTGAAAATTATTTATCTAAGTGCTTTCTAAAGTCAACCACCAACTGGGTTGGTTAACTTCTGTCAGATTTGTATCAAGCAAACAGGCCAAACCTGCATGGTGCTAAGGTACCTACATTTTAAAACACCCATCAACACTCAGAATGGAACCTGAACTTGATTTTAAGACCTGAAATTACTACAAAAAAAAAATTAGCATGTTCTTTTAAGAGCTATGGTATCTATCATACAATTGATCTTATACAGAAACGGCATAGGTGTCATTAGATGTGGCTCTCCAAGGTGTTAGATCTGCCTTCCATAACTCCTGACATTGCAGATAACAGACAGTAAAAATACAGAGCTAATAAAGTATGATTTAAATCCTCTGTTCCATCACCTGTGTTTCATGGTTTTCTCCCTCAGTTTTAAAAAGGCAGCATTGGCAGCAGATTGGTGCCACACTGAGTTACTTTCCTGAGTTGTTCAGTGAACTCAATCTTTTCAGAATGAGGGGAAAACTGTCCGCTTCTCCTTGGTGTTCACAGACCTCTCCTTCAGAAATGCTGAGAATACTGTGACTATTGAGGGAGAGGGAGAGCTCCGTTACCACAGTATTTGAAGGCTTTATCTGGATATGTTGAGAATTCTGCTAACGCCACTAATGCTCTGTTTATCAGAGATATGACAAAAGGCAGTCTGTTGCTAATAAGCAATTGGCATAGAATGTCTGTGTTTCCTATATGATACAGTATAAAAAAACCCTGTGAAATTTTAGTATAATTTTGATTGAAAATATTATTCATTGATATAATTTTCCAAAATATTTCTTCAGTTTCCCAAACAACTGGACAGCGGAAACAACATTAGATGTTGGACCATTCATAGCTCTGCTATCAAAAGGGGAATTAAACATCCTTGCTGAAAAGGTATGTTTTTAATATACTTCTTAAATTTGTAAAAGATAATGCTAGAATTTTGATTTATGAATGTCATGGAATCATTTAGGTTGGAAAAGACCTTTAAGATCATTGAGTCCAACCATTAATGTAGTACTGCCGAGTTCACCAAAGTTCACCGCTAAACCATGTCCCTCAGTGCCACATCTACACGTCTTTTAAGTACCTCCATAGCTGGTGACTTAACCACTTCTCTGGGCAGCCTGTTCCAATGCTTTAAAACCCTTTTGGTGAAGAAATTTTTCTGAATGTCTAACCTAAACCTCCCCTGCTGCAACTTGAGGCTTTTACCTCTTGTCACTTGTTACTTGGGAGAAGAGACTGACACCCACTTCACTACAACCTCCTACAAACTATCAAGTAGTTGTGGAGAGAAATAAGGTCATAATGCAGTCTGTGTGACCTGAATGCTAAACTAGGTAAATAATTCTCTTGGCAAGGAACTGTGTGTATTGCTTTCGCACATTCTCGACTCCATCAAAATTTCTTCTTCAAAGTAATGGTAGTATAACCAATTATAGAATCATAAAATAGTTTGGGTTGGAAAGGACCTTAAGATCATCTAGTTTCAACCCCCCTGCCATGGGCAGGGACACCTCACACTAAATCACGTCACCCAAGGCTCTGTCTAACCTGACCTTGAACAATCAGGGATGGAGCATTCACAACTTCCTTGTGCGACCCATTCCAGTGCCTCACAGTAAAGAACTTCTTCCTTTTATCTCACCTAAACTTCCCCTGTTCATGTTTGAACCTATTACTCCTTGTTCTATCACTACAAAGAGTCCCTCCCCAGCATCCTTGTGGGCCCCCTTCAGATACGGGAAGGCTCCTATGAGGTCTCCACACAGCCTTCTCTTCTCCAGGCTTAACAGCTCCAACTTTCTCAGTCTGTCTTCATATGGGAGGTGCTCCAGCCCCCTGATCATCCTCGTGGCCCTCCTCTGGACTTGTTCCAACAGTTCCATGTCCTTCTTATGTTGAGGACACCAGAACTGCACACAGTACTCCAAGCGAGGTCTCACAAGAGCAGAGTAAAGGGGCAGGATCACCTTCTTCGACCTGCTGGTCATGCTCCTTTTGATGCAGCCCAGGAGGCTGCAGGTGCACACTGAAGCTGGCTCATGTTAAGTTTCTCATCAGTCAACACCCCCAGGTCCTTCTCTGCAGGGCTGCTCTGAATCTCTTCTCCACCCAGCCTGTAGCTGTGCCTGGGATTGCCCTGACCCAGGTGTAGGACCTTGCACTTGGCTTAGTTGAACTTTATGAGGTTGGCATTTTATATTCATGTATACAATAATAGTTATATATTTGTCATGTAGGAAAAAAACCCAGTGCATTTATAGTGACAGAGACTCAAACATTTTTAGTACTTTATACCTTGCAGTGTTGTTTCCTCTCTTCTCCTACCTTCCAACCATGAAAGTTGTGTTTCTTATCCTATTAATGAGGTCATACTGATCAAATTAGCATTTACTCATGTGGCCCTTTGCCCTAGGGCCAGTGTAGCATACATAACAATAACTGAGCCTTAGCATTGCACTTTGTAGTTTCTTTGCCCTCTTTAGTTATTCTAATCTTGTAATTTTTATGTATAGGACTAAACTATTCTGGAATGAGGAATTAATTCTTCAAAAGTAATATGCGAACACAATCAGCAAATATTCCTCAGAAGATAATGCTTGTAATTGACCAAATAGAACAGGACTCTTCCACTGAAAGGAAGTTGTCTAGCACAGTGGAGAAGTCAAAAAAGCCTAAAACACACGAATAGGTTGAAATTATTTATCTTAATTTAATTGGGTCCCTATCCTCAATTCTTATACTTGTCTGAGAAATCTAAGACAAAATACTTTCTGTACTACACACACTGAAATGGTGGAACTCACTGTTACGGGAGGGTCTGGACAGAGACTGCAATCAGACAGTGCTCAGGTGTTGCCAGAAGCTGAGAGGGCATACAAGAGGGAGAATCATTCAGAATTTGCTTCATTTATTCTTTTTTTTTCCCTCAGATGTAAGCTGTTGACCTTTGGAGTAGCAACAAATTTACTCTCCTTTTCTAAACATCTGTACATATAGGAAGGAGGTCTGCACAATCTTTCTCTGCAAACTGGTTTTTAAAGGGAAAAGTCTTACTTATTCTTTCTTTTCTTTTGAAGTTCCCAGATATCATTTTACAAATAGCAAAGACAAATGGACCAATTTCTTCAGCTGAAGAGCTTCTATCAACTGTATTTGAATCTGTGTCTAATGCCACTGCCAACATCAAATCATCTGTCACCACACCTGGTCAGTATTTCACATGGTATCTGTGCAAAGTTACAGATTTACAATGATGCTGTTTTGGGCTGTGCTGGTGCAGTTCAAACAGACTTTTTTTGTTTCACTTTATCATCAAATACATTCTGAGAAGCCAAACAACAAAAAGCAAAGCCTCAAATAACTTAGAGGTTCAGACTTACAGCAAAACCAGGTAGTCTTTGTTCTCTTGCCCATGGTTGTCTGATACATTGACCAATTGCTGAAACACTTAATTTCATTACAGGATTGCACAGTTAAGCATCTTCTGGAATTTATCTGACTGCACAAAGGAGAAAGATTAATTATTTGAGTTAGAAGGATTTGCTTATTTTTACTTTCCTGTGTAATCGAAGTGAAAATCCTTGAATTAAAAACCTATGAAGGTGATAAGTTACCATTGTGCCAAAAGATTGCGCATAGTTAATCTTTTGCCAGACATGGGCATATGTTGACTTGCCTGTTCTTAAATCCGCATTGATGGCACTGTATTTTGTCTGTCAAAATGGACAGTTTGTTATAATCTAAAAGGTGTTTTAATTGGCAACCAAACTAATCTGTTAGTGATATTATCTCTGGTAACAAATGGATCATTTTCTTTGTATAAGGTACATTCTTTGACTATATTCTGTTACTACAATAACTTTATTCTTTCTCTTGAAATTCACCCAGGCAGAATTTTTAAGCTATGCCATCCTATGCCATGGGTAACAGCCCTGCTGGGGGGGGAGGCTTTGGAAAGCACTAATGGGAATTTAGACCCCAACAATTTCAAGGAGTTTGTTACTGTTTGTGTTTATGTCTGAAAGTTTTCCCATTGGTTCTCTGCCCAAGACAATACAGGTCCAAGCTCTCAGCAAGCCCTTGAGGCACCATGAAAATCCATCTGCTTGTAT